ATATACACAATATAAATATTAAAAAATCTAATCAAATGTTATTTTTTCATTAATATATATATATATATTTTCTGTCTCCTCTTCTGTTCTAGTGGAGCTGAAATTCAACTTGGACCAGTATGTGAACAAACGCTACCCGGGCCTGGTGAAAATTGTGAGAAACAGCAAGCGAGAAGGTTTGATCCGAGCCAGAATACATGGCTGGAACGCAGCCACGTCGCCTGTTGTCGGCTTCTTTGATGCTCATGTTGAGTTCAACACTGGCTGGTAAGGAAAGGTTGTGTTTAACAGGATTAGGTCCAAACTGTTGCTTTGTCCTGTCTAACCTTTGGCTTTTTGCCTTTTATTATGACAGAGGCATGTCACGTAGATTTATCTTTAAATTACACACAGTGTGGTCTATTTTAGGCATTGTCTAAAGCAAGGTTTTGACTGAAACAGCTCTTCAGGAAAGATTTATTAATTTCAAGCATTTTGTTTTTATTATTATCAATAACAGATGCTTAATATTATGTTTTGTTTATGCCACTGAATGAGATATTGTGAAAGGTAAGAGCCAGTAGAGGTCAAATAGTGAGCATTTTTAAATTATTATAGTTGTGGGATCTGGGCACATACTGTATTCTTGTGGTCTCATTCTTATGTTTGTAAGCTTAAATATGAAAACAATTAGATGAAGATGGTACCTAAATGTGCCCGTCATGTTGGTATTTTAAGTAGAAATAATCTTTTTTAGAAGAGAAGCTGCCTGGGGAAAAAAAGAAGTAGAGGAATAGAAAAGAACAGCAGTTAGAGACAGCTGTGTTAAACTCATGATATTGTATCTGGATGTAAGCCATGCAGATATTCTTGTTAAATAAATATCTATAATGTAAACAAAATACTGTATGAATACAGTACTCATATCTTGATTGACAAGACTGGCTAAAAATTCCCACATTTCTTGTTGTTCAGTGGAAAAACACAAATATATGCAGTGGAAGGCTTGGTTTTTATATTTATTTGGAAAAATGTCAAATTGTTCAGTTTTTACAACGATTCTCATACATTGGTTCATTATTTTCAGACTTTGCCTCAGTGTTTCAGTTTGCACTCGAATGAATCTGCAAACAACCACAGTTGAACCAAATTAACCAACAGGACTTGTAGTTTATTACCTCATTAACTGTTGCCGTATAACAGTTGTTCACCAGATTTATTATAAAGTCCATCTCCCACTCTAGTTTTTGTGTCAAAGGTGACACTACTTTTATTGTACAGTATAGTGTGAGCAAAAAATTTGATCTGACAGTGGAGAAAAAAAAACTTTTAATCACAAATGTTCAAATGAAAACTGTCTTTCTCCTTTTTTAAAATACATCAAATAAGATATCGAATATAAGATTGAGCTAGGTTGTTGAGGGCTTTGTAAGTTAGAAGTAAGATTTTGAATTCAATTCTGGATTTGACAGGGAGCCAATGGAGAGAAGCTAAAACTGGAGAGATATGATCTCTCCTACTAACTCCAGTTAAGACTCTGGCAGCAGCATTTTGGATCAATTGAAGACATTTTAAAAGAAGTATTTGGACATCCAGATAATAAACCATTGCAATAGTCCAGTCTAGACATGACAAATGCATGAACCAGTTTTTCTGCATCATTTTCGATGAGATGTTTCTAATTTTAGTGATATTACGCAGATGGAAGAAGGCAGTTCTAGTAACGTTTTTAATGTGGGGGATAAAAGACATGTCCTGATAAAAAATAACACCAAGATTTTTTCATTAGAACTGAAGGACAGATTAATGCCATCCAAAAAGGGTGAAAGACTGAAAAATTTATTCCTAAGATTCTCAAGTCCAAAAACTAAAACCTCACTCTTGTCTGTGTTCAAAAGCAGAAAATTAAGGGTCATCCAGGATTTTATCTTTAAAGCATGCTTGTAGTCTGAGTAATAGATTACCTAATGGAAGCATATATAAGGTAAAGAGTATTGGTCCAAATACTGAACCCTGAGGCACTCCATGACTAACTTTGGAGTACAAAGAAGATTCATTATTTACATTTATAAATTGGCATCTATCAGATAAATATGATTTAAACCAATTTAGAGCTGGTCTATTGAACGAGCATTTAACAGGTTTCTGCAGAACTTGAAGATGCTAATAATCAGAGACCACTGTTTTATGCTAAATCAGTATTATGTTTTGCAATTACATTAATAAAAGCCTATCATTTATTAAGTGAATGCATATCACTCACTGTGATTCATGCCAGATATTTAAATTCAGTTCAGAAGTGACAGCATTGTATATGTTTTGATCAAACCTTGAAGATCATGTTAACTGTGATCTTGTGTAATGTCTTGCAAATTTTAGCCTAACGTCTGTAAAATTTACTAAGATATAGCCGTTTTGGTGCTGGGAAATGTTGATTAGATGCGGCAGCTCTCTTGAAATAAAATAGCTCAAACAGTTGATCTGTCAGTGGATGTTAATCCAGTGAATAGTTCCTGAAAGTTTTCTTAAAAAAACATTCAATGGTTTGAGATTTTGTTTTAAAATAAAAAACTAATTGGGATGACTCTAGTTTGTGCTGAAGATTTAGACAAAAATCCTACACAGTAAGTAACACTTGGAGTTGTGTTGTACATAACTATCAGCTACAAAGACACCAAGTTTTTGTACATCGGTAAAACTGACTGAATGATTTCTGTTTATGTGACTTCAAATAGTAGCGGCCCTCTTAACTTACATTTCTCCAAAAGTAAATCACTTGCAGATATACATCAAATGTAAAAAAAAGTTAAATCTGGTCCTCTGGACATTCAAAAAACAAAAGAAAGCAAAACAACAAAAAACATGTAGAAACGTTTCGTCTTTCATCCGAAAGACTTCCTCAGTCTGAGGTGCTGTATAAAGCTCAGTCATAAATAACACCTTCTCAGAGTAGATCAACCAGATTGCTGCTGACAACCAAAATCCTTTTCAGGGACACCACCAAGTCATTGGTTCAGGTATGTTGACGA